ATAAAAGCCACGAGTGTGAGGCTTAAGTTGTAAAGTTGTGTGCGGGGCGGGAGGGTTTGGGCTGCCAGTTTCCCCACTTTCTACACGCCCGTCGCCACGTTTCTGAGAAGCGTATTTACAAGTCTGTTATCGCTGCAGTAAATCTGCAGGTGTTTGCTTTCAAGGTGTGAGCAGGTTGGCGTGGAAAGGCAAAGCTTTCTTCAATCCCTGACCTAAACCAAATAACAAAATGGGTCACGGAGCAGTGCTTTTCCCCCGGGATGTATACCTGGCTCGCTGTCAGGTCAACCCGAGTCATATTGCTCGACGCGAAGGGTGCGACTGAGCAGGTACAGTGAAACGTCTGCTTTCCCTGAAGGCCTTTGGCCTCACGCGCTGATGGTGATGGCGTGATGGGTGCACGTGGGTCTGGGGCTCTGAGGGAGCCTTTGAAGCAGCACAATCCTTACTCATCATCCTCATGCTGATCTCGCTGCCCTGCTGTGCGCTGCTGATAGCTCCTCAGGATGAAAGCTGGCTCCATCTCTTCCATTTCTGAGGGCACAGATCCGAATGTCCTGACATCCAGACCATCTTTGGTCTGAGTCTCTGGCTTATCACCGCCTCAGGAGATACAGCCATAAGCTCTCCTTAGAACCAGGGAGGTATTTTTACCTCTCCTCGGAATCCCCTGGACTTCAAGAAAAGCATCCAAACTATAAAAGGGCAGGATGTTGGCTGTTATCTCAGAACATCTCGGTTTATAGAGACTCCTCCAGTCCTGAAGCGCAGGTCTGTGTGTGGGATCGCTCACTGGTGTCCACAGATGCTTTTTATAAATGTCTGTGGGACTAAAACTGCTTGCTGCTCTGGATCCTCAGGTTTTCCAGAGGAGGTGGCTGGGCATGGAGGCAAATACAGAGGTATATAGCTACAGAGGTGTAGAGGTATATGCTGTGCCCATTCAAGTGCATCATTCCAACCCGCTTCGCTACAAATCAGCTCTGGTTTATCCTAAAGAGACAGAACAAGTGCCCAAAGTAAAGCGTGGCTGGCTGTTACCCCGACAGTGCTGGAAGGGCTGGATTTCACAGCCCTCACTTTTTTTTTTCTCCTCGTTCTCTCTGTCATTTTTCACTGCTCTCTTTCTGTCTGTCTCTTTGGGTTTAATTTATGGCGTCACTCCTGCGCAGAAGCTGGAGGCTCAAACACGAGGCTTGGACCCTGCGCATGGAAGCACAAGTGCAGCCTCTCAGCTTGCCAGGGCAGGAATATCACAGCTGGCAGGGCCCCCCGTTCCTGCGATGGCTTTTCTCTGCAAGCTCGGGCAGGTCCCCTGCCTCTCCTCCACTCGCTTCCTCTCTGCAACAGCACGTTCCTCTGCAGGAGTCAGTGCCACGGCGGTGGCAAGGGCAGCGTGACCCCAGAGTGAATGGACAGCGAGCGGTGTCCTGTCTCACCCTGTCACCGCGGTCCTCTTAACAGGCTAGAACACAGATAGTACGCTAAAGATGTGAGGTGCCCAGATTGTCCCTAACAGGAGCTGTAGAAATACCCCAGACAGGAGCTAAAATCTAATCTTGCATCTATAAACAGCTTATGTTGCTTTTTATGAGCATTTGAATCAAGCGGTGGGAATTGAAAGCAGCTGTTACTCAGTCACTGCGCAGGAACGAGCAAGTGGCGGCTGAAGCCAGCCACATCAGAGCAAAACGCCTTCAATTTCCAGTCAAAGTCACAGAGTGAAGACTTTGAAATAAAGAACAAATCAAAGAAAAGTGTTTTCTCCTCCCAGGTGTTCTCCTGATGGGAGGGCTGAGTTATCTGTCATGAATTATTCACCACTTCTAACGATGCTGTGATGATTTTTTTTGCAGGGAGGCAGAGGGAGCGAGCCGCCAGCTTGCTTCGCACAGCCCCTGGCTGTGAACACGCTGTCTGTCTGCGGAGGAACCATCCAGGAGCCCCGTCCTGGCTCGGCTCCATCCCCGCAGGACACCACCTGCACCCTGGGGACCCACTGTCCCAGGAGGGTGGAGGTGGGACCTGGCTCAGAAATACCCAGCTCTTCCTCGTTTTCCTTTCCCCTTGCTGATTCATCAGCGAAACCAACCTTCAAAACTAGACTTTTGGACCTGTCAACAATATAGAAGAAAACAATGGTTTTGATGATTATTTTTTCTGATATTTTTGAGTTTTTTAAAGAGCCTTTTCTGGCTGGGACAGGCAGCTGTTGAGGAAGGAGAAGTGCCTGCTGGTCTCTCTCCTCGCAGGGACAGTGGCAGGGCCACGCAGGTCCCTCTTTGCTCCATGGGGCAGTTCTGCCTGGACCTGGAGGGAGTGCTGAGGGGGCAGCATGCTCTAGGGTGAGCTGGCTACAGTCTGAAGAAAGGGCTGATTTTCGAGCAGAGGGGAGGTGAAGAACCTCCCGCATCTAGTAGTCGTAAAATCTGCCCTGTCCCCTGCTCTCTGGGAACCTCCTGCTATCTCTGGTAGCTCCAAGGGGTCTCCTCCGTCACTGAGTAGTCCAAAGCCAAAGCAGAGATACCATTTAAGGGAGGAAGGAATGAAATTTAATGAGCCAAACGTCGCGGGAAAAGCCTGAGAGGTATAACAAGGTTTAAAACCAAGTTGCGGATGTCTCATTGTATACCGAGGCTTGGGCGTGCGCACGTGGAGGCCAACTCTTCCTGGTGGGCTCATGTGAGACCTCTCTGCAGATGCGACATCCAGGGAGGAAGGGACATGGACAGAGGAATCTCTCTGTTCGTGGTGCTCAGGTGGGTTCAGACATTTCCAAGAGCCTGGGAGACAAGCACGAGAGAGTTTAATGCACTGAATCTTGGAGACAAGGGTGCTCCTTCACAGATGAACCCAAAATGTCAATAGGTGGAGTTCCACACCATTAAAAAAAGCGTTACACGCAGTAGTTTTGTGTAGAATTCAGTCTCCCTGGTGTTTTTTGCCACCAAACCACCCATATTGCTGAGCTGATGAACAGGAACCAGGCAGAAATTAATTAAAAACAAGATAAAAAGGACGCTGAACATTCCAAGGGCAGATTTCTGTCTGTCTCCATTTCCACCTTCTGATGTTTAAAAGAGATTATAGAGGGGGAGGAAAGAGATTTTTATAAATGTTTAAGTCGTGTATTTAGCAGTATCTGAAGGTCATTTTTTTCTTTCTTTTTGTTTTTGGCCTGCTGCCTTTTGCACAGCTGAGGAGAGGACAAATGTTTAAGAAAAGTAAGCGAGGTAACGAAACCACAAGGAACGGGCAGGGGAGGCTGGGACCAGCTCCTAGTAATTTGGATTTTCTTTTAAATTGAACAGATTTCAGAGGGACAGTTCACCCTAAAAGAAAACAGTTTCTCAGTTTTCCTCAGGAAGACTTAGAGGAACACAAAAAAGCGTAACAAGCATCAGTGGTACCTTCTCCATATTCTGTCTAACCTTAATGGGAATGTTGGCATTTCTCAGTTCAGAAATTACTTCATTTAGTGTTTTATTAGCATTAAGTCTGCTGCAGGTTTTTAAATACTTATTTCCACTGGCTGCTGTTTAATGACCACCTCAGCTCCTGGTGAGTTAGAAAACGTTATCACCATAAACCACACCAGCCTCTTTCTTTCTGAGCCTTCTTCTTTCCCTTTTCTGGGAGAATCAACACAATGACCAGGACTGACGCTCACGGGGTTGGTGCTGTCCCAATGAATTTTAACTGGCACGAGTTACAAATGAGGCTCGTTACCAGTTTTGTGCTTCCAGAGCTGTGATTATTGCTACTATTAATCCTATTATTATTTTCTATTATTAATTATTCCTGTTATTAATCCAATGTGGGTTTGCTTGTGGGGTTTGGGTGTTGGTTCTGCTGTTGGACACAGGATTTCCAGTTTGGGAGTGAACACAAATAAACTCACCTGAAGTGTCTTCTTTCAGCCAGACATGATGTGCTTGACAAAAGCTGAGAAGGAATCGAGAAAGGAGAGCGTGAGAGGTTAAAGCACGCTCTGAGCTGAGGTGGGACGGGCAGGGAGGCAGCGGGGATTCCCCCAGCCCCAGCACCCCCCAGGATAAAGGGGACGTGCTCTGCCAAGACTGAGATTTCTCCTTCTGTTCCCACATGGGCCCCAAACCTCATCAGTGACACCAAGCCCCTCCTAGAGATGAGCTGGTATCCCCATCCCCAGTTTTCTGAGGCTGAGTGAAATGGATACCCTCGTCCTCCAGGCTCTGCAATTTTAGGGATTCCCAGATTTAACCACCCCCTATTCCAGATTTTCAGCCCCTTGGAGCCATGAGCGATCTCCAAATGTCCCCGATTAGCCTCTGCTGTGAAAGATGTCGGGTTTGTTTGGTTTTGATAGCTTACAACAAAACGCTGCCAAAACTGGGGATAAAACAGTCCTGAAACATTTGAAAACACGCTGTCCTCCGCTGCTTTTACTGGAAATCACCGGCACAACCACCTTGTTCCCACCCCAGCTGACTCGTCTCACAGCTCTCTTCAAAGAGGCTTTGGAGAGTGGTCCCACAACTTCTCAGTTATCACCGATGTCCTCACAGAGGACATACTTTGCACTCTAAGACAAGACAACCGCATTTGAGATGCCCCCGATGGGGACCTCTTGCTCCTACCTTCGTAGTTGATACAGCCGTTGGCATCTTCTTGCCCTGCCATGAGCTGCTCCACCTCGCTTTCCGTCATCTTCTCCCCTGGAAGAGGAGGACACAGAGGTGAGGGGACGGGTTCTCAGCCTACCAGGACTTTCCTGTCCTTCTTCCAGACAACCAGAGCCACCAGCAGAAGGAAAAGGGAATTAAAAAGGAGCTGCTGGGGAGTGCAGGTGGGAGATTGTGGGGAGTGGACCAGGTTGCAATGTTCGCCTGATAATGGGACTCTCCATCTCGCCTGCATCATGCATGAAGCTGCGGCATAAGATAGAAAAAGCCACATATTCAGTTGTACGAAAACTTGCGAGCAGCGGAGTGCTCGGTGCCCAGAAAGGGCACCCAGAGGTGACCTGTGACCGCCTCCCCAGGGCCAGCCCGTACCCAGCGTGACCAGCACGTGGCGCAGCTCGGCCCCCATCACCATGCCGTTGCCCTCCTTGTCGAAGACGCGTAGCCCTTCCACAAAGTCCTCGAAGGTGCCCTGCTCCTTGTTGCGGGTGAAGTGCTGCAGGATGGGGAGGAAGGTCTCAAAGTCCAGCGTCTTTGTGTTCATTTCTGGAAGGGGAGGAGGAGATGGGGTCAAGGATTAACTTCACTGGGCTGAAGTCAGCCTCTGAGGACCTCCGCCCCAACCTTCCTGGTCTCATTTCTGTCTTAGCACAGGGAAGAAACCCCACAAGGTGATGGGAATATTAGTGTATCATACTTAGGGTGGGAAGATCCATATAAGGAGGAAAATATTAACGTCTGGTCTGCATGCAGACCACTGGTACCAGCCAGAAAATGAAAACCAGCAGGTCGGTCCTCTGTCCCCCGGCAATGCGACTGCGCTGGGACCGGTCAGGTCACACCAGTTTGCACCATTTCAGGATATGGTCTGCTAAGCATCATTTGCTACCAAGCCCAGCTGAGGACACTCTATCCCTTACGTCAGCCGTGGTACAGGGAGGGGGAGTGAAGGAATTTTACAGGAATGAAGCCTCTCTGAGTCATTTCCTTCCCAATTCCTTCAATTTGCGGGGCTGTTCCTACAGGGGACGTAATCCTTCACTTGCTGCTTGTCCCACCCTGCCCCAGTTTGCTGTCACCTTCTGGTTTGGGCTTGCCCAGCACCTTCAGGACCTCGGCGTTGGTGGGGTTGTGGCCGAGCGCCCGCAGGACGTCGCCGCACTGCGCGTAGGTGATCTGCATGGCTCCCGTGGGCGTCCGGTCAAACAGGCTGAAGGATTCTTTGAACTCTGCGGGGAAGAAGAGCTCAGATGTCCCTTGCCATGCCAGCTCTGTTTCCCACCCCGCCGAAGCAAGTCTTGCTGGCAGGCAGGGAGGGGATGGACACGTGCGTGACGGGTGCCCTCTGTGCCCGTCACCGGGGCAGGGACCCCTGGGCTAGCTTGAGCAACGAGCCACTGAAGCTTGCCAGACTCCTTCAACGAGTCACTCGGCTTCTGGAGCAGGTTTTGCCACCCATGTGAAACCCAAGGGTGACGTGCTGGGACTCTTGCACCGCCTCGCGCTGGCAGCACCGGCTGCAGGCGCAGTCTCTGCTGCAGAGCATCATCCCCTTTGCTCTTCCCCTTTTCTCCTGGGCACCTCGTGACCCTCTCCCACCACCGTGACACCTGGAACACCCCGTCCCCTCTGCTGGTGTCCCCCTCAGGTGCAGACACAGCACAGCGTTGCTCGTGTTCAGGGACGGGTGGCCATGTCCACCCCAGCCTTGCAGCCCTCGAGTCCCACCAGCCCTGTGTAGAAGGTCACAAGAGATACATTTCTAAGCTCGTTCTGATGAATTATCATGCCATTGAGTGCTACATTTTACCTGGAGGAGGGAAGCCTAAATTAGGCACAGTTAAGGACTTCTTTCCTTCTGTGTAGGATGCTTTTCAGCTTCCTGACCTACTGCTGGCTTTTCTCTCTAGTCCCACTCTTGGCTACATGGACAACCACCCATCTGTGATGCTCAGAGCCTGGTCTCTGCCTCTTGTTTCAATGCAGAAAATCTTCTCCACTACAACAGGCTCCTCACTGGTGTCGAGGTGCAAAATATGAGAAACCAGTCCTCCAGGAGACACCTCCGCCAGGTCCTTACCCTTCTCCTCTGCAGGCAAGCCAGGGACCCCGAGGCTGGGGGCTCCATGCAGACAGCGAGATGGTGTTTCTCCTGCAGCAGATGCTCCACACATTTCTGGATTTCACCCTGCTGCCTCCAGGGCAGCGAGTCCACCTGAGCAGTTTACTGGTCCACGCAGGTTAATCGGCCTTTCCAGCCTGTTCACGTGAGCACTCGGAGCTGGGACTCTCTTGTCTGTGATGTTAATGAATTCCAGGTTATGGTCCGTCTTCTTCATAACATCCAGCAATATTCCCTCAAGGTGGAGCCTCTGCTCCTCCTGCTCTTGGGTCAGGCGAGGTAATCCCGTGCAGGGATGGAGACATCGTGGTGTGGTGGGCATTGCCTTGCCTTTGGTGGGAATCCTTGCCCAGGGCTTGGGATTTGCTCCACTTTCTGCTCACCATCTTTATATCTCCTGCTGAGCCTCACCATCCTGTAGACCTGTCCCCACCATGTCCATGCCATGTCGCTGTATTCCTGCCCACAGCCCCCCCCGCATCTCGGGGTGCTGCTGTTATCCCACCTAACCTCACCGTGGCTCTGCCTCTGCAGGTGAGACCCCTCCATCTGGATCTGGGGGAATCTGGGAAGGGACATCACCGCCTGCGAGTCTCTGGGTCAGGGTGCTCAGTGACACCTTCTCCTCAGAGAGGAGGAGATCCTCACGTGCTCAGAGCTGTCACTGCAGGTTAAATCCAAATATCTTCACGTTTCAACTTGCTCACTTTTCCACTGGCTCTCGTTTCTCCCTTCCAAAGGCTGGTTTGGGAGCCGAGCCTGCAGGACACTGTGTCTCCTCCTCTCAATATTCCCGCCAGGATCTGCCCTCAGATCTTGTCCTTTCCCCAGGCTGTACAGAGGCCGTGGAGAGATGAGAAATCCCAGCCCCAGCTCAGCCCCTCGACACGGGGCTGTCCCTGCATCACCAGAGGCTGCTCCTCCCACACGAATCCCAGACTTTGAACCAGGCTGCATCTCTCACCATGAATGGAAAAATACCTTTTCCCTGCCAGGCTTTGAAGCTGGGATTATCCTCTTTGCTGGGGCAAGCGACAGACAAGGAGCCAGGATCCGTTTGCTCCCGAGAGCCCCGCGTTGTTGTCACAGCCGGATCCCTGCCCTGGCTCTCGCTCACCTCCGGCACCGCTCATCTCCATCTCCTGCCTCCTCCCTTCCCACCTGAGCTCTTGCCCATCTCCTTACTGGCCCATTGCTGGTTGGAGACATGGCTTTCTGATTTCATATGTCCCTTCTACCTGCTAGGAAACCTCACAAGCCCATCCTGGTGGGAGCTGGGGTACCCCCAGGAGAGGGTTTGATGTGTGGGGCCTCATGCCTCTCATGTCTGCTGTGAAAAACTACCTGGAAAAAGGACTCCCTCTTTCTAACACCATCTCTGGGGAAAGATGAAATCTGTGCTTACCTTCGATCTGCTCTGCAGTGAACTCAATCTGTTGGGAAGAGAGAAGAGAGCTGGGCGTGAGGGCTGTGTCACTGCCGGGGTGATGAAGGGGCTCTCCCCTGCGGTCAGACATCTCCCTCTCCGAGCTTTGGGGCAGGGACCGTACCCGTACCCATACCTGTACCCACACCGTGCCTGGGAACGCTCCTGCCCTTGCCACGGAGCTGACAGCCCTGCGGGAAGCGCAGCCGGCAGCAGCACAGCGGGCAAGGGGTGGGCAGGCAGCGGGGATGCTCGGACCACGGTTTTGGGTGAAAAGAACATTATTTCAAGGCTTAATTCCCAGTTCAAGTGATGAACCAGCCTCTGTGCTGAGCCTGCTATTAACAACTCCCCTGCCACAGCTCTGGCTTAAAAATGGAACTATATTCTGGGGAATCACGGGGAAAAACGAGCTCCCGTTGTGGAGACTTGGATAAAAGATGTTCTCGTGTGGAGGAGGAAACGCAGGCAGCAAAATACTTTAGGAAGGAGACAGTGGGTGGCGGAAAAGCTTTTCAATGCTGCCGGGGCC